AGAACACAGTGACTCATGCCCACCATGAGCCTGGCCATGTTCCTGGGGCTGGCAATGCCACAGAGAACACAGACACAGTCCCTGTGCTCAGGGGCTCTGTCCCCGTGGAGAGAGACAGCCATAAACAAGGAAGCTGTCATCCAATGCGCCGTGCGCCACCTGGTAATAAAGCACTTTATGCAACAGGGTTCAAACTCGACTTCTAACCCTATCAGCCACTGAGAATCTAGAGGGAGATTCCATCACTTTGATTTTATTGTGTGGAGATTTATAACCAAGTTGATTTCCTGGGACAGCAGCCTGGGCCCACTGTGGAAAGCCACTCGGGAGCAAGCGTCTTCACTTGCCCTGGAGCCGAGGCGTTGTGGCTTCAGCGTTGCAGGCTCTTCTGTGGCCTCGCCCACTTACTGGATCACGCCGTGCACGTGCCTTGGGTCTTCCCTGGGCTGGGAAGGCTGCTCTCGGAGCTCCGGGATGGGGCCTGACCCCTGGGCCTGCACAGCCCACCTCCTGCCTTATTTGGCGAAGAACATTCTGTAGAAAACCTTTGAAGTTCCCTTGTATAAATAAAGCCCAGGTTCGCTGGCTCTTCCCACTGTGGATGCTGGACCCCTAGGGTCGTGAAGCCATCCCATTCGCTTTCCAAAATTACTTCCTGGGTCGTGTGGCTTCTTTTTCTTAGCTTAATTTTGTAGCCAGTCCGCTTCACCCAGAAGAGACTCAGATTCCATGGCCCACGGGGCACAGGGATGAGAGCCCGCCCTCCTCTGAACGCATGCCAGTGAGAAGGCAGGGAACGAGGGTGTGAAGGCAGAACCCGCAAACCTTCCACCATGGCTTCCCGAGGACAGGTGGCATTCCCCTGCGTGTTGCTCTGTCACCACCCTTGGGATTCCCCGCAGAGGAACCTCGGGGTCACAGAGGTCAAGGCTGATGGCCCTGGGGACACGCCCTGCACTGCGGGACCTTGGGCAGGTCAGTGGCAGGACTGGTCTGCACGGATTCCCCACCCCACCCCGTGGACCCTCTGGGAGGGACTGGCCACAGGCCCAGCCTGGCCGTGACCCTGGGACACAGACCCGGTCCCTTCTGCCTTTCCAGGCATCAGCCGGCGTCGTCTGTGTGGCTCCAGAACTCTGTGCTCCTGACAGCTCCCGTCCCAGGAGCCCTATTGAGAGCTCTGAAGACAGAGGTGAGCAGGACAATGACCACAGAGACCAGAGAAGGGCTGGAGAGAGGAGCTCCAGAGCCAACCACAGTGCAGCCCCACAGCTCGGCCAGTGACAGGCGGTCCCCGAACGGTACCGGAACACCTGAGTACCGCGCAGGCCTGATGAAACACCGACAGCTCGCACCCGAGAAGGAAGATTATAAATTGTGCTGCGTCTTCGCAAGAAGCAGCACATTAACCACTGTTTGTTACTTCTCCGATGACGCTTCTCTAATTCTTCCCTTCAGAAAACAGCACACATTACAATAGCCAGCGTCACTTCTGTTTTTAAAACAATTCGTTATATGTACATTGCCAAATTATGGGTCTGCGGGATATTTCCATGAGTGGGAACAAGTGCAGACGCGCTGAGGAGGCTTTGTAACTGGGGTCTGGCGACAGGAGGACGTGCTACCTGATGGTCACTACTTCCTGGGGCTTCTTCTGAGGTTTCCTGGGGGTAGACCCCTGCTCCAGGGACTCCCAACTTGGGCAGCGTGGGGAGGTGCGGCCCTCCAACTCCATCTCCTTGGGTATAGACAGAGGCAGGTTCCCCAAACCACAGAACAGAGGATTAGAAAGTGAGAAGTAGCCCATCAGATTTAACAAAGGCCAGAGGAGAATCTAGTAGTCATTCACCATCTATCCAATATGGTCTGGGAAACCTGCCCAACAGGGGGCTGATGCAAAAGATGCACAAAGTTAAACAGACACACTAAAACAATGGCAATCAAAGAAAAAAACAGCAGGCTAAAGTCCAACCAACAGAGCTGCACAGGAGGACCTGACCACTAGTAGGAAGGTGAGTCCCCACAACTCCTCACTGAGGAGAAACTAACCCTGCAGAGAAGACCAGAGATGAAAAGGTATGCTAAGTTGGACATAAAGGGGGACAGCTGCTCTGGTTTTGATATCACTGGTCCCCAAGGTCCATGAGTTGGGAACTTGGTCCTAGGATGGTGATGGTGGTGGGAGTTGGTGTGGGGCCTGGTGGTCAGTTGGTGGTACCAGTGTTCCCATAGTCCTTGTGGGAGGGTAGATATGGAAGCCTAAGCCTGACCCCCAACCCCTGCTCTCTGGTTCTCATTTAGACATGTGATCTTTTGCTACTCTCACGTCTGCCATAGCCTGTCCACTACTATTTGAACTTTCAGCATCCCAAATAATAAACTAAACCAAACTTTTTTCTTTATAAAGTTAGCTTTTTTCAAGTATTTCATTATAGTAGTGAAGAGTGGACTAATGTAATGATTAAACAAATAGAGAGCCTAACAACAGCATTACTACATGATATAAATAGTAAGGAAGGAAGTAGAAAATCTGAGAAATGTATGATTTGCATGGGCAAAAATACAATGGAGATGAAAAAGAGAAATTGCATCAATTCGAGAAATCTAACAAACCTTGAGAACAAAGAAAGTCCAATACAAGGAAAACTGGTGCTCCTGAGTCAAATAGAGGGCTGGGGTTGTGGCTCAGTGACAAAGCGCTTGCCTAGCACGTGTGAGGCACTGGGTTAGATTCTCAGCAAGACACACACACACAAATAAATAAATAAATAAAGTTTGAAAGAAAAGAAAGAAAGAAAGAACCAAATAGATGGTGGGTACAGTGATTCCAGCCATGGGGAGACTGGGAGGAGCAGAGCATGATCCAGGGCAGCCTGGACAAACTTAGCAAAACCCTGTCTCTAAATAAAAAAGTAAGTAGAAAGGGCTGGGATGTCAGTGTGGCTCGGGAGTAAACATCCCTGGGTTCCATCTCCAGTACCACACAAACAAAAACAAAAAACAATAACAACAAAATTGACTTAATAGTGCATGTAAAGACCTGAAATAGAAAAAGCTCCAGAAACTAAAACATAGTAGTTTCAGTTGAAAACCAAACATGACTTATTCCTGGGAATTTAATGAAGAAGAAAACAACAAGATAAATAATAATGAAGCCACTGAACCTCAGGACTGAGGAGGAAAACTTCAGGTGCTCACCCAGCAGCAGCAAGTCGGAACCAGCAGGGACTGTGGACACAGTGGGGCCTGACCTCCAACATTTCTCCAACAATTCTGACGCAGACTCACTGCTCAGTGAGTTTTTTTTTCTGTTAACCTGAAACTGTTCTAAAAATAAAAATGTTACTTTTTAAATTCAGAGGAAAGAAAGCCTGTCCTAAACATCCCCTTTCCAACTAGTGATGGAAAATCAACAGACCGACATTCTCAGGCTAAAGGAAGTCCTGGATTATCACATCCACAAGGTCGTTGTAAGGAAACAAAATCTAGTAATAAAATCCAGCTAACTGACCTTGGGTCAGGTGATAATTAGAAGTGGGAAAGGATATTTAAAGTAAACAAGTGCTTTCAGGTCCCGGGTCGGCAACAGAGTAGAGCCCCAGGTCCCAGCAGGCCAGTAGGTCCCTGGGGTGCTGATGGCCTTGTGTGTCCAGGCTCTTCCTGCCCCTCTCAACACAGAGGTGTGACCTGGGGACTGTCTACCCATCCCCCACGCCTGACCCAGGCTGGGCCAGCTTCCCACTCGGAGCCAGATGACAGAATTGGTCCCAGGACAGGACGGGACCCAGATTAGCTAACCAGAATTCTTTGGGTTTTCTCCCTGATGTTGATGGAGAAAGCTCTAGAAGTTCTAAGAGAACGAGCTGGAGGATGATTATGGAGAAAGAGGCTATGATCTCTGTCTTGTGGTCGAAGTCTAACTGCCAGGGAAGATTGGGGCTGACTCCAGCAAAGGGGAACAGAAAAGGAGGGGCTGGCACCTGGAGCCAGCAGTGCCTATTCTTCATGACCCTGGCGCTGCAGGGTCCTGGGGCCTGTGCTCTTCAAGGACTATCTGGACCTGCAGGTCCCAGTGTGTGTTCTCCAATTCGGTGACATCCCCAGTGTCCTCACAATGCATCTCTGTTCACTGAAAAAGATTTTGGTGGATTTTGGCCATCTGTACTTGGAATCCTCAGTAATATTCTACCTGTGTTAGTTGGCTTTCTGTTGCTGTTACGAAAAACAACTGACAGGAAGAAAGATTTATTTTTGCTCACAGTTTCAAGGGTTTCAGTCCAAAGTCACTTGACCCCATCCCTGTGAGCTTGGGACAAGGTAGCAAATCATGGTGGCAGCATGTAGCAAGACAGAATTGTTCATCTTATGGCAGCCAGGAGAGAGAAAGGGGCTGGGGTCCCAATACACCCCTCAAGGCTACTCCCCAGTGACCTACTTCCTCCAACTTTGCCCCACCTCCAAAGTGGCTTCTACCTCCCAGGACCTCTGCCTGCTGGGGACCTACCTTCTTCATAGAGTCTCTGGGGACTTTCCAAATCCACACTATGGAAAAATCCCTTCAGTTCTCAAAGATCCTCAGGTCAGAAGTGTACACCAAAATGGGCAGTGAGTAGAATACCTTAGTCTCCACACCTTTCCTTCCAAGTAGCAGACCATGGACATGACTCCCAAGGGGAAGAGACCCCAGCTCACTTTCTGGTCCTGAGGTCACAGGTCCTGGACCCCCACACAGGTTAATGTCCACACTTCTTCTTCCAAGTAGCAGACCATGGACATGACTCCCACAGGGGAAGAGACCCCAGCTCACATTCTGGTCCTGAGGTCACAGGTCCTGGACCTCCACATGGGGCATGTCCCCAGTCACTTCCTGATTCTGAGGTCACAGGACCTGGGTCCCACACAGGGAAGGTCCCTGGTCACTTCCTGGTCCTGATGTCACAGGTCCTGGACCCCCACACAGGTTAATGTCCACACCTCTTCTTCCAAGTAGCAGACCTTGGACATGACCCCCACAGGGGAAGTGACCCCAGCTCACTTTCTGGTCCTGAGGTCACAGGTCCTGGACCCCCACACAGGCAGGTCCCCAGTCACTTCCTGGTCTGAGGTCACAGGTCCTGGACTTCCACAGGGGGCAGGTCCCCAGTCACTTCCTGGTCCTGATGTCACAGGTCACTGACATTCCATGTATCCTGGAGACCAAGGCTGGGGAAGCTAGGACCTGCAGGGAAGGTCTTCCTCCTTGGGCTGGAGGAGCATGGCCGTGAGTAGAGGAGTAGGGACCCCCGTCCTTGTCCTCCTGCTGTGCTGCTGGTGGGAAGCGCAGCCCTGGCCAGGGAAAATGCATTCAGGTAGAACTCCAATGAAACCAGAAGACAGAGACCATGGACCTGAATCAGGCAGGTGACGTCCTTCACCAATAGGTCCCTTTGTATGGCTTGAAGGTGCCCCCTCAAAAATCCAGGTGTTGAAATGATAGTGACAGCATTAAGAGCTGGGGACTTCAAGGTTATTGAGGTATGAGGCTCCTCCTTGGGAGGGGATTGAAAACCTTACAAAAGAGGCTTCCTGCAGCGTTTGGTTAGCTTGCCCTACCACCTTCTGCCACATGAGGACCCAGCAAAGGAGCACCATCATGGAAGCCAGGAGCAGCCCTTACCAGACAGGAACCTGCCAGCACCTTGATCCTGGACTTTCCAGACTCCAAACTGTGAGAAATAAATTTCTGTTCATTTTGAATGACCCAGTCTCAGGTATTTTGTTACAGCTGTGCAGACTAAGACTCCCCTCCCTACACACCCACAGCACCATTGCCCCTACAGTCCTCAAGGATGGAAGAAGCTCAAATGTTTTTCTGTCATTGAAGCGATTTTTAATTCCAAAATTTCATGGGAGAGTTGCATACAGTATGTATTTTAAGTTTTTATTAACTTACAGACATTTTCTAACTTCCAAAGTAGAGAGGAAGAATAGTATAAACCTCCATTGGTCCCCAACCAGTTTCAATAGTTTTGCACATTTGCCATTTTGTTTTGTTCTACACACACACACACACACACACACACACACACACACACACGGGGAGGGGGGCTTCATTACTTCACTTTGGGGAGTATTTTAGCACTGTTTTATCACTTTGTCTTATCATTTGAGGTAATACATTTTCTTGCTAACAGATAAAAGGATTTTTATGTCCACAATGTCATAATCCTACTAATGAAACTAACAAAATCCTTTACATGGGCTGATGCCCAGTCCATACTCAGATTTCCTCCATTATCCCAGAGGGTCCTTTTGCAGGCAATAGGTTGATTGAAGCCAGGACATAAGCATGGCCATATGTGACTTTGGCTCACCCACCTCTTTTTTTTTTTAATGCACATTTTATTTCTAAGGCTTAACACAAGCATTTCATGGCAATGAATAAATAAATGGGCTCCAGAAGAAAGGATGGTGGTGTCTTTCAAGATCCACACTCATCTTTGAATATCTTCCTAAAGACACTCAAAAATTTTTAAAAAATTATGCTTAGTTATACACGACAGTAAAATATATTTTGGCAAAATATACATATATAGAGCATAACTTGGTCTATTGGGTTTTCAGTCTGGTGTGGAGTCATCCTGGTTGTGTATACAAATACAAGGTGGAGAGTTATGGCCAGGTAATCTACTGTCTTTCCTATTCTCCTCCCACGTCCCTTCCCTTTGTTTCCCCTTGTCGAGTCCAGTCTGTTTCTATTATTCCCCACCCCAATCTCCCTCGTTTGGGGCAAGCATCCTCATCCACCTCTTTTCTTCTGAGGAAAGGCACAGTGGCACAGCCTGTAGAGAGCACAGAAGACCCAGATCCAGCGGGGACCTCCCTGGCACACAGGCAGCATGGTCAGGCCGCTCCTTCCACCTCAGTCTTCTCAGATGTAACTGGAGCTCAAGAAAAGGCCCGTCCAGAGCCCCCACCCAGCTGCTAGGGGAGGGAAAAGGTCCTGTGCCCATAGGGCTCATGGGACCCTTCTGAGACAGGGCACAGCTGCTGGCCATGGGTGCCCACCCTGTTCTCCCTTCTACACACCCAGCGTTTGCCAGGGCTGCACTGTCCAGCTCCAGCCCGTGTCTGTGGGGAGGGTGGGCACTACCAAGGTCCAGCAGCATCAAGAAGACACCAAAGCTCCTCACTTCTTTCTTTAAAGGAACAGGGTTCAAGGGCAACTATCCAGGAAGTGCTGGGAGGCACTGGGGGCCAGAAGGCTCCAGAATGGGCAAAGGTCACATCCTCACTCAATCACTGCCAGCCCCCTCGTCCATTCCTGGGCACAGCTGCCCACACAGCTCTCGCCTGTCCCTGGAAATTGCTCAGCAGGTGTGGCTCAGTCCTGCCAGTCATCACCTCCTAAGACCCTGTTGAGACTACAGGTGGCCCTCGAGGTCGTCCCCCCAGCTTGAGGCCTGGTGGAGACCTGGATGGTCCTCTGGGTCACCTCCATGGTTGACCTGGTTAAGCCTGGGTGGTCCTCTGGGTCATCTCCAGCATGAGGCCTGGTGGGGACCTCAGGTGGCCCTTGGGGTCGTCTCCATCTTGCGGTCTGATTTAGACCTTAGGTGGCCCTCGAGGTTCCCCCTGCTTGAGGTGTGGTGGAGACCTTGGGTGGCCCTGGAGGTGTTCCCCCGTGAGGCCAGGAAGGGGTGTTTCTCCAAGAGCAACACGGGATCTCCTCACCCAACTCTGAGGTCTTCCAACCATTTCCCACATGAGCTGACCATTGTCGCGGGTCCTCACGTGGGGGTGGTGGACACCGAGGGGAGGGACAGCACATGACCTGGTCCTCATGAGGCAGGAGGGCGCCATCCTGCACGCCCCGAATTAACCAGAGCAAACTCAGAACTCCACAGTGGACCTCCATGGAGCCAGAATGTGTGTGATGCCAACAAGAAGAAGAGCCGCGGAGCGTCCTGACACGCGGGCATGTGCCGTCTGGAGCCGCGACTCCAGGGAGGAGGTGACAAGCGGCTGCATTGACAGTGCACGTGGAATCGCAGAGACCATGAGACGTCAATACTTTATGCATGTGCTCAGGGCTGACTTGCACAATGCCTCCATTGTGATACGGACAGACGCAAAAGAAAGGAATATTTTTAACAATGTGCTTGCGCAGCGCAGCTGTCCCCATTCTTAATGGTCCATTAATGTCTCATCCGAGGAGAACTGTACTTGTGTTTGTTTGTTTGCCGGAGGTCAGCATACTGGGAAGCAATTGTCACTGCCAGCACAGACCTTTTTACATATTTCCTGCATTGTTCCCAGCACGTGTGCAGATGAGTGATTGGTATGCAGATTGTCCATCATTAAAACCATTTGAAAATCAGCTTTGTCATTGGTTTAGCTGGAACTTTGGATTCTCAGACAGAGCTCTCTGTGGCTCAGAAGGGAAGGTGCAGCGGCCATGCTGGCCCTCCGTGGGGGCTACCCTCAACCTGGAGGCCACAGGAAGAGGCTGACCTTGACTTTGAGACAACCTGAGCCAAGGAAATGTACCAAGACCCTGAGACGCCCCGGCCTCTAATAAAGAAGAGTCTTAAATGTCAGCAGGGAGGAACCACTTCATGGATGCTGCTGAGAAAGCAGCTCTTGGAATCGCCATAGTGTCCTGGTCACGTAGCGTACGGTTCCTGTTCACCAGGCAACCAAGGCTGCAGATTGGACAGCCCTAGACCCTGTGGACATCCTGGGCTGACGGTTCTCCCAGGAGACTCTAATTCTTCCCTGCAGACGGGCCCACACTGGAATGCTTTGCTCACAAAAGAGGGTGACCTGCCACTGGGTCCTCCAACCCCCAAATTCAGAACCAGAGCACGAAGTGGCACCACATCTGTTCCCTCCCCAGTCCCACTGCTAAGCTCCAGGGCACTCGCTGCAGGAAGCGCCTGTGGGAGGCAAACCTGGCACACTTGAGTTCTGTGAGTTTGCAGCACACACGGACACAGGAACCAGGCAGCCGCCCTGTGGACCCTGGGCTCCCCTGGGGTGTGGGGTGCGAGTTCTCAGAGCAAGGCAAGGGCAGCGTCTGCTGGCTGATGAGCCTTCCCTGGCTGTCTGCACTGAGCTGGGCCTGGTTGCTGGGCAGGAGGGGGGGGATCTGCCTCTCAGCCTGGTGGGCGCCCAGTTGGTCATCCTCACATTCAGAAAGTGTAACAATGTGCTCCTTTCCTTTGCTTGTCCAGTTGAATGGGCCCAGAAATCTGTGGACATGGGATGTTTTCTTATCACGCACCAGATGATTCCAGTGACCAGGAGGGCACTCAGGGCACCTGGGCGGAGGGTGGGCACCATCCTCACAGCTGAGCCTGGGTGCCCCCTTTCCTGCCATTGTCCAGATGAGACAGCCAAGTCCCAGGGGACTTCCAGTGGCCATCTCTCAGCCCCCGTGGGAGGGACTGGGGTGCCACAGGGCTCCTTCCCCTAGAGCAGGCTGGCGGGCATCCGGCACGATCGTATCCGTTTACAGAGAAGTAAATGAAAACTCGGCAAACGTTGTTAAACTGGATTTTTATTTCTCTCCTAGGTTCAAGTCCATCAAGTACTAAAGCTCTAGATGATGACGTGGCCACAGTATTTGGTAAGGGTCCCCCATAAGTGTCACCTGGTCTGTGGGGAGGGTTGGGAGACAGGCATTTCCCAACTCCCTGTGAAAAGCTGTGAAAGCTGGGGCTGTGGGAGGACTGATGTGGTTTGAGGCCAGGACCACATTCCCACAGCCCACAGCGTAGTGCCCACACCTAAAGGTCCACCTCCCGAGAAATTTAAAAGATGACATCATCCTCAGACTGTTGTTAGCACCACAAACTCACTTCCCACGTGAAGTCCATGGACCTGCAGTGTCTGCATCACCCAGGACTCGGTAGAAACACCCAGGATGGAGCCCACCCAGAACTCCCTCAGGGGACCTGTGTTCCACCAGATGCACCTGGGGGCCCGAGGCTCAGCCATGGCCACCTCCCCTCCTCAGCCCTGCTGATGCTGAGGTCCACAGACCAGCCAGACCCCAGGGATCCAGGCTCTGTGGCACTGGCCAGGCTGGCACACCAGGGTTCCCGCAGCTCTCCCCGTGGGGCTAGCGCGGCAAGGTTGAGGGCCCTGGTCAAGTCCACGCATCCAACAGAGATGCAGTGACAGCTGCAGTAGAGAGAAATGTCATAGCAGCCACATTTAAAAGAAGCATAAAAAACAGTTTAATAACGTATTTCACTTAATGTAACTTATTTCAACATCAGCAATATAGCCCTGCTCTTATTACTGTTGTCATGTTTGTTGCAGTGCTGGGGATCAAACCCTGGGCCGCAAGCAGCCCGGCAAGCTCTCTGCCACTGGACCACACCACAGCCCCAATGTCCACTTACTCAGAGACGTTCTCAGTCTCTCATCACAGCGAGTCTCCAAATCCTGTGCACACTTCAGGGTCAGAGGCCACCTCAGGGTGGACAAGCCACCTTCCAATGTGTGTCCTTGTGGCCAGAGCTGCCCTAGATAGTGCCCATCGTCTGGTCCAACCCCTCATTTGACACTTGGGAAACTGAGGCCTGGAGAAGTCTTCTGAGCAGAGAGTGGGACCTGGAGCACAGGAGACCCCAGCTCACAACATCTCCATGAAGGGCTCACCTCCCAGTAGCCCTCTGCCTACTGTCACCTGTTAAGTGTCAGGAGCAGCTGGAGGTGGCCTTCCACCGACAGGGAGCCTGGAGCCGGGCTGCCAGTGCTGCTGTCCAGGCTGAGCCCCGTCAGGAGGTTGTGATGGACGCAGATGCCCATCAGCTGACGGGGCCCTTTCAGGGGGCAGCCCCAGGTCTGGGGGAGAGGCCTGGGGGCATCTTCTGCCCCTGCCCGGGTGGAGAAGTAACTGAGTGAACGCCCCCAGTCCACACGTGTGCGCTGCCAATCACGCTCCTCAGCCCCTCCTCTCCCAGACTCAGGAGATCTGGTCCCCATCCTGCAGGTGACCCCGTCTCCTGATGGACGGGCTGGTCACCAGCTGCTCCGGGCAGCACACCCAGCACTGGCCCAGATGAAACGACGGCCATGCTGCAGAGATGGTGGCGATTCCCAGTGGCTGTGCACGTGGCTGTCACTGTGGTCCCTGTGTGACTTGACCCTCATCAAGGCCCGTGAGATAAACAGAAACCCCATTTTATAGAAGGGAGCCAAAGGTCAGACACATGAGCAAGAAACTCATCCCAGATCACCTCTGAGAGCAGGGCCAGAATGGAGGTCAGGCCTGTCAGACACCACATCCAGGACTCTTACGGTAGAGGCTTCCTAGGAGAGGTCAGAAGGAAGCACAGGAAGAATATAAGGCCACACTTGTGTAGCAATCAGGAAAGACATTCATACCCGGTGGCAGAGATGGGACAGAATGACAACTGGGCTGGGAGGAGAACTGTGACCATGTCTGGGGCCAGGTTTCTAGCACCGTGTCTTTGGGGGGTGTGTGTTAATAAGCTTTCCGTCTCTGTGACAAAACACCTGAGATCATCAACTCATGAAGAGGAAAGTTTAGCTCATGGTTTTGGAGGTCCTGTCCGCGACTGGGTGGCCTCGCTGCTTTGGGCCTGTGGCCAGGCAGTGGTCACGGTGGACAAGGGTGGCAGGCAAAATCCACCTCGTGTCTGGGAACAAAAGGGAGAAGGGGCCAGGGCCACACCCCAGGCCCATCTTAAAGGCCCCACACCTCCCGTTAGTGGAAGCCTTTAGCACAGAGGCCTTTGGAGGACACTCCAGGTGCAGACTAGAGTTGGGGGCAGTGCTGAGGAGAAGAGTGCACCGTCTCAGCGATTCTGGAACCATCCAGGGAGGCAGTGGCTTGCCCACCCCAGAGGAGGTTCTCCAGGGAGTCAGGCCCCTGCCACTGCCCTCCCTGGGTTCCTTTTCCTGTCCACTGTGCTCACTGACTGCCCGCAGTATGGAAGCACACAGAACACCAGTCCTTATCGCTGCTCTAACATGTCCTTGTGTGCTTTTCCCAAGATGAAATTCTTGTCCAAGAGCTTTTGGATCCAAAGAAATTAGTAACCCTTGAAACACGAAGATCAGCAGCTACATTACCACCAAAAATAATGACGAAAAAAAGCAAGTATACCACATTTTAACCCTCTAATTGCATGTGTTCCTGAGATCTGGGGCATTGAGCAGGGCCCTGCTGTTCCAGCATTCCTTTGGCAGCTGTGTCTTGGCAGAGACCTGTGGAAATGTGACAGAAACAGTTGTCCAAAGCCAGTGCTATGTCCTTCCCGGTCTGAGGAGGTCACACCGGCCTGGAGGGACAATTTGCCCTTATTCTGGGATGATCTCTGGTGTGCTCGTTCACGCATGTGCTCACACTCGGGATACAGGGAGGGCAGAGCCACTGCAGGAACACGAGACACTTGGAAATGAGGACTGTGAAGGGGCCAGGGCGTCCTAGTCAACACAGCAGCCTGTCTGCTCACACGAGGCTTCTGAGTGCAGGGCGATCCTGGCAGCCACCTGACAGGAGGTAACCAAGGTCCGACACACGACAGGCCAGGGCCACAGAGTAGTGATCAGAGAACGTGCTTTTCCACCATGCAGCTTCATACCGTCGATAATCCACATTGCCCATATGAGTAAATAAAGTAGCAGGGATGTCTTCAGCAGCAGGAAGGGTCGACCTTCTCTCAGGATTTTGCATTCAGAAGTGGATACATTTCTGATTCCCAGGATCTGTTCACCAACCTCTGCCCAGGCCCAAAACACTGGGCTCAAGTGCTCAGATAACGCTTGCCTCAGTTTACAGACTGACTTCCCAACACACATTTTTAAAGTATCACATGAAAACTTCATCACTCTAGTCCACCATTCTAACAGAAAGCCTGTGCCACAGTGTTCACAAGCGTGTAGTGAAGAAAACTTTCCTCCTTTTCTTCCATGTTCTACACCCAAGAGGCTGGCATTGATGAGAACTATCCAGCTGACGGTGCTGAGAACTACCATGAATTACTAGAGAACGTCCACTTCTCTTCTGGCAACGAGGACAAAATCCTCAGTGATGGTAAACATAACCCTGAAATCCCCCACCTAAGTCCCCACGGAACTGGGGAAACCGAGGCAGGCAGATGATGTGGGTGGAAACGTCTCCTTGGGGAAGGACGAAGCCCCTGGTGGGGGACTGCGGCTGTTCCTCTGAGTTAGGCAGGTTTCCCAGATCTTGTGGGGGCTGAGGGGCCCCCACTTCCCAGGCCCTTCCATGGGGTCCCACCCTGAAAAACCACAGCCCGGGAGCCCAGCAGGAATGGTGTTGCATGTCCCTGAAGCGGCCAGCAGGGGGAAAAGGTGCTGCCACAGGTCCAGATCCCTTCTCTCAGGCCCAGCTAAGTCAGCGCTCCTCCCTGGGCGGTGGGGGGCAGAGAGCCAGAGCCTCCCACAGAGGCCCCAGGAGTCCAGAAAAGCCTCCCTCCAACAGAGGAGGCTGCTGGGAGCAGAGTGTGTGCAAAGGCTCGGAGAGAAGCTCGACTCCCATAGGGAGGCAGGTCTCTCCACCCTGAGACTAAACACAAGGAAGAGTGTGTGTGACACATGGGACATGGGGGGACCAGGCCACAGCTCCCAAGCATGGTGGGCTCACCGATGGACAGGGAGCTTACTGGTTCATAGTCCTGGGCCCCCCCCCAACAGCTGTGCAGGGACCCAGGAATCTGCATTTCAATCTGTTCTCCAGCTGGTTTCTCTGGTGACCAGCTGCTGGTGTTCTGAAAGATCCAAGCAGGTGGTATTCAGGACTAACCAGAACACGATTCTGCTTAAAACTGAAGTTCCACTACTCCTGCATCCGCCCCGCCCACCCACTGCACACTGCCAGGTGGTTCTAGGTTCTAGGTAGAACATATTGGGGGCAGTCCTTCTAGTAGTGCCCACAGCAGGGGAACTGCAGGTGAGTTCATTCTGAAGACACCACCTGTGGCCACTGTCCCCGACAAGTACTGCAGGGTAGCATCAGATCAGAGTCTACTGAGACCCTGAGCCACAGACTGAGAACAGAGTCACAGGGCAGGAATGAAGCTGTGGCAGAGGGAGGAGGGACAACTCTGAAGCAAGTCCAGGGCCCTGGAGCCCAGGCCACCCTTAGTGAACTCCAGGACTGCCCAAGTCAGGCCTGAACTCACCAAACCTGTTGTGTGTGTGCAGAGGGACCTGCCCCTGGGGCACACATCTCAAGCCCCATCCTAAGGACAGCTGTGTAGCCCATCCCCCAAGGAGCTCTTGAGCTGCAGGGGCCTGCAAGAGAGGCAGTAGGCCCCAAGGCACACACAGACAACAGTTAAATACCCTACAGATGTCAATCATCCTGATATCTTTGGGTTCTACTTGCCATGCACCTGAGTCTCCGGCCTGGGAGCTTGGCCACAGGTCTTTCACTACCCGGAAGCGCTCTGGCCTGTTACCCTCAGACACTCCTCCTTCTGGGTCTGTCTGAATGTGCCCTTGCCTAACCTGGATTTTGCATTTCTGTCAGCATTGCACAAAAATGATACTGTGCCTTCCCTGGGCATGCCAGGAGGAGGGGCGTGATGGGGACAGATCCCATTGCCAGGGATGTGAACTTCGATCACTTATTTAAAGTGGTACCTGCCAGGCTTCTCCATAATCAGGTTATTTTCTTTTTTCCTTTGAAAATAAGTAGTATCTTATGGGCAGATTCTTTCAGACTGCAAATCTTCTATTTCTCATCCTGTTTTCACCCACTAATTTCACATCCATTGATTTCTGACTGCAAAATCATGATTGCAGTATTTGCCAACAGGGGATTTTCTATTTCCAGCATTCTCTCTACATTTATTGGATTGACATTCAACTGTAGAAAGAGCTGTCACTCTCCTATGAGTCTGTGGCTCAGTTAGGAGTCTCTCAGTGTAAGCCTGTGGTACTCAGTTTATTCAGTGGGCTGTGAAGCCATGAATATCACTTCTTTTCTGGCTCTATTGTCTCAGGGCCTGCTGTGGGTATTGTCTGTGTCCTTCCAGTGTGTGGTCTCCTCTTTGGGCACTGCCTCATTCCTGGCACCACAGCAACTCCAGGCTCTGGCTCCATTATTAGAAGATGGTGTTAGAAACCAAGAGCTGTGCTGGGCATGGTGGAGCATGCTTGTGATACTAGCCACTCAGGAGGATGAGGCAGGAGGATCACAAGTTCAAGGCCAGCCTCAGCAACTTAGCAAGACCCTGTCTCAAAATAAAAACAATTTAAAAGGAGCACTGGGAATGTAGCTCAGTGGTACAGTGCTAGTCTCGCATGTGTGAGACCCTGGGTTCAATCCCCAGTACCAAAAAAGAAGAGGAAGAAGAAGAAAAAGAGAGAAACCAAGAGCTGGATTCTGGGTGTGCTTGTTAGAACACCTCTGTCTCCAAGCCCTCCGAGTGGACAGATTGAGGAGACATGTTCCTGAGTAGAAATCTAGCTATGGCTACATCCCCCTTGCAGGTGCTGGGCACCGTGAGTTTACTTTGGTACCTCTGATTCCCACTGCACCTGAGCTCATTCTAGCTTCCCACTGTCTGCTGTCGTTTCAGCTGCAAGGAGCCTGGCTCTCATTACCTACATCGTGTTACCCGTTCACTCAGCCTTAGTTTCAGAATTGCTACTGTGTTCACCATGCAAACAGATTTACCACCTAGAGGACAATGATTGTGTTTTCAGCCTTCAGCCGCACAGTGTGCAGTCAGATACGCTTGCCAGCGTTCCCTTGTTGGTTCTTTTCCTTCCCACCCTCTTCAGTGAGTTATAGGATGTACATCTAACATTCCATTTGGGACTTTATTCCATTTTGGGTCCTGCCTCCATCCTGGTGACTTTATTTATGTATTTTGGAGTGAGTGAAACATGTCCATGGTTCTGATACTAACAGTAACATCCCTGGAAACTCACTGCCCCCTCAGTCTGTTGTAATGACACTTTCGCAGCCCCCACTCTTCCTGCCTGTGCGCACCCACATCCTGAAGGCAATCAGTCCCTTTACCTTCTGATTTATCCTTCCCACATTTCTTGTGCACACTCAAGCAGGTCCGTGTGTGCTTTCTTACATCCTTCCTTACATGAAAGACCCACTCTAAATGCTCTTCCACATAGTAGCAGATTGCACAAATGTTCATTATTTGTTTTCATGGCTGCACAGTTTCCTCTCGTGGATATATGGTAGCTCATTCAACAACTCTCTTGCATCTGGGCATTTAGGTAATTTCCAACATCTTGCAATTACAATGCAATGAAGGACCGTGCATGTATTTCCATGCTATTGGAGGTGTATGGATAGGGTGGACTTCTAGAAGCAGGTGGTGTTGGGACGTTGGGACCACAGGTAGCCCCACAGGGAGCCATGGAGTTTGTACTCTGCCTGAGGTACCTGTTCCTTTCAGCCCTGCACCTTTCCAGCTATGTCACTGACAGGTGAGAAATGGTATTCCAGAGTTTTAATTCACATTTGTCCAAGCATAAGTGAACTAGAGCATCTTCTCCTAGGTTTATGAACCATTTTTATATATTTCTGTGAATTTTCTATTGACATCTTTTTTCTCATTTTTACAAATCTTATTTTTAAACAATTCTTCAAATTTGTGGAAGGTTAGTTTGTGATATTTGTTGCAAACATTTTTTTCTAGTTAGCTGATTATCATTTGACGTTGACTGAGAATTTGTGAGTGCAGGCTTGTGGGGGCTCCAGGTCCCACTTGGTCCCGTCTGCATGTTCTAGTCAAGTGGGTCTTGGCAAGGGTGCAGCCAACACACATGGCAGAAGCCAGAGCAAAGCTGCTGTGGAAGAGCACCTCTCAAGGTTTCCCCTGGACAAGGCCCTGAAAAGGCAGTTTGGGGCAAGTGCCCCATAGGAGTGAGCAAGTCGGGGAACACAAAAACAGCAAACATTCAGAAATGGGACAATCCAGAAAGATTAGAGCAAGTCTGCTGTGGGACTTCTGTCCCCAGTTAGTACACAGAGAGATGCGAAGAACACTATCCCCATCCTGTGTGCCTCTTGTCCTTATGTCCCCATGACAACAGAAAGATAAAATGTAAGATAACAGCTTCTTCAGCCATTAGAGCTGAGGGAGGCCAAAAGGCGGCCAGGTGGGCTGAGTCCCCAGAGAGACAGGACACCAGGACTAGCTCATTTTTGGTTGAACACAGAAAAGAGAGGCAGCTTTTCTGAAAGGCAAGTAGAGGCTGACATGCCAGCTTTGACTAGCTGGAACTGGGGCTCAGTGGAGCTTACAATCCCAGGCGTCCCACAGAGTAGAGGCAGGCAGGGGAGGAGAGAAAGTCTAGTCCTAGGCTGAGCACTGCAGGGAGTGGCTGGCATTAGCTGGAGACCCAGCAGGAAGCCCCATCCCACCCAAATTCTTCTATGGCACCTGGTGAGAAGCAGTTTGTCCAGGATGCAGGGATACATCACCAAGTCTAGAAGAAGGGAAGGAGCAAAGCCCCAGGCCCTGAGAGAGGCAGCAAGGCTCCTTCTTCCAGAATACGGGCAAGACCCACTGTTACTTGGGACAGAGAATCAAAAGGCTCCTTCTGGGGGAGAAGATCTAGGGGTTGTCTTAGGCCCAAGACTCCATGCTAATACTGCTGAAGCAGTTTCACAGATTCCTAGGGCATTGCTACATAGCGTTATCTCTGCAAATACCACAGTGCTACTTCCTTTCTGATTTCTAAGACGTTCGTTTCTGTTTCTTGCTTTATGGCATGGTCAGGACCCTCAGCAGGAGTTTGAATGATAGTGCAGTGAGTGAGCATCCCACTTTTAGTGGCAATTGTCTTTTGCCACTAAGCATGGCATTGCTGGAAGATTCCTATAGACATACTTTATTAGTTTGAGAAAGTTCCTACTATCCTTATTTTGAGAGTTTTTATAATGAATTTTGTCAAATATTTTTTCCTGCACATATTGATAATTTTATTTAATTCTTTTTCTTTGTTGTGTTAAAATGGTGAATTACATGGATTGGTTTTTGGATGCCAAACCAAGCTTGCATTCATTCCTGTGATAAGAACTATTTAGTTATGATGCATTATTCTTAAGTGGTTTTTACTTTATTTATTTGCAAATATTTGCTGGGTTTTGCATTCATATTCAAATAATTACTGAGGATTTTGTACCTGTATTCACAAGGATTACAGGTCCATATGTTCCTCATGGTAATATCTCTATATATTGGCAGTAGGTTACAGAGTTGAAGTGGGGGTGCCTCTTTGTTTCTGAAAAGTTCTAGTAAAACTGGTTTCAACTTCTTCCTCAAGTGTTGGGTAGAATTTACCAGTAAAACCATGGTCCTGGAGCTTTACCATTTGAAAAGTTTTCTTTCTGGTGATAAATTTAAAATAGCTCTATGGTTATTCAAATTTTGTTGCTTCTTCACGAACTTTGGGTTCCTTTGCCTTCCCAGTGGCTAGGGTGCTGTAGGCTGCAAACATTGACATATGGGGACCCTGGCAGAAATTCCATCAGAGTCCTCCTGCTAGAAAACTGCCCTGAAGGCCCAGACAGCAAGTGACCACAGGAAGCTGCAGTCTGTAGAAGTCCTGGGCGGACTAGTTCCCAGACCCTGGAAGTTGCCCGGGGCTCTGCCTCAGGAAAAATGCTCCCTTCCTGGCCTCCTGAGGAGTCAGTCCTGCAGGAAAGTGTCCTCTTCCTGCTCTCCAACCACGATTCCTAAGGAGCACTAGGCTCCATTGGGAGCAGATTCAAATCCTTTGTTCCCATCTTCACAGTCAGAGCACTTCCTGCTGGACTGCCCCTCAGAGTCCCCTTCCTGCTTCTTCCAGGGGACACTCAGATGCCTGCACAAAGCCGGATCCCAACTGTTGGTTGGGATTTACTCCACAAGCAGAGCAGCCCCAGTATCCCTGGTCCTCAATATTCAGGATGCGCTGAGTCCCACCACTGACTTCCCCAGGCACACAGAAGTGTGGCCTCCACAGCGGGGACCTCGGGAGCCACACGTGGGAGTTATGAGGCAAAGAAGTGCCACAGTTGGGCTCCGAGGAGTGACTCTAGGGAAGCTCAGCCATCTCGGCAGCGGAAACATGGGAACCTCCTTGTCTTTTCCTGCACTAGGAAAGTTTCTCCACCACAAAGAGTCGTGATGGAATGACAGTGCCATTTCTCCTTTTCCTGCAATTTGACTTTTTTTAGTAGTCTTTTATATTTGGTTCTAATGATTATCTGTCCTATTCTAATGGATGTCCCATGGCATGGTCTCAGAAGACCAAGGGAAAGAGGCATGCAGAAGTGACCTGCTGTGCACTGGTGGGTGACAAGACAGAGGAGAAGCAGGGGCTAATCCAGCTGGCCTCCCCGAGTCTCTCTGAGTTGGTGGAGAGTGGAAGGACATGGTAACGGTTGGGTGTAGGAACTTGGGGGCAGTGCAGGGTGGAGGCTACAGTCTGAGGTGTAGGTCAGCTCGTCTAGGTGAAAAGAAAAATGAGAGTTTGGAATTCAACCATAATTGTTAAATCTTAATCATTGTTCTTATTTTTTTTTTCCACAGACGAGAAAGAAACGCTTTATCAGATTAAAAGCCTTGCAGCTCTGGAGAAAATCATCGACAGTCTTCGAAGAATCATAGGTAAAGGGAGCAGGAACTGAAGTGCCGGTGGGTGTGGAGGATGGCTGCTGGCCCTGGAGCCCCCTGTCCCTGAGGAAGAGAAGGAAATGGAGCCTGGGCTCCAGCTCCACCCTTCTCTAGAGCTCCAGGAGCTGGGGTGAGCCCCTGGCAGGAGCCCCGTGGGGTTTTCTCTTGGGCCTTTGACGGACAGTCCAATACAAGGTCATTGGCCATGTCACTGAGGGGGCCAGACGGCAGGTCAACCACAGGAAGTTACTCTTTGTGGAGGTCAGGGTGGCCCAGTTCCCAAACCCATGGGAGCTTCCCCGGGGCTCTGCCTCAGGAACACGTCACTCTCTTGTCAACCAAAGGGACCAGCGCTCGTTCCCCTTTCCCAGGAATACTTGGCCCTGCGAGGCTGCCCTCACACCCATGCCCAGTCTCCTCACACTGAGACCAGGAGACCACAGCCTGCCATAAAGTGTCCAGGCCAAGGAAGGTCCCTAGGCCACCCCAGGGTCTGCCTCTCACTTGAGGCAGGAGGCCTCCCCTGTAGCTGAGTCTCCTCTGCTCCCCACCGCTCATGTGGTGGAGCCCCTCTCTGTTGCCAGGCACGCTCCGTGTTCAGGCGGCTCTACTTTGCCCTGACACCCCTCATGGCCCCATGCTTCTCTGTGGGACCTTCCAGAACACCCTATGCCTCCCTCCAAGCCAGTCCTTCATTAGACAGCTCTCCTGTCCTCCCAGTCTCTGAGGTGGATGTCCATAGTCCCACTGGCAGCTCTGTGTACCAGGGCACAGAGCTCACCCTCCTGTGTGCTGCCCTGGGGAAGGAGCAGGGAGCAGCTCTGCCCCACCCAGAGCTCCCAGCTCTCCATGCAAGTGAGGAAGGGACTAGAGGGCAGGCATCAAACAAGCCGGCTAGGGGAGCAGGCTGCTGCCCAACCCGCCAGGGTCCCTTCCTCTGGGACTCATCTATGTGGCTCTCCTGCCCTGTTTCTGGCAGGGCCTCTTATGCCTCTGTCCTCACACAGGAGTCCCAGGATCCTGCCCACCTCCTCTCACTTGTTGCCAGTCTCATCTGATTCTACACCCTGCTCTCACCCCTCATGCCCTGTCAGCTCTGCCAGATGGGGTTCCTCTCCTGAAGTCTGATGCACGCTGAGCATCAGCTGGGGAAATGTTCAGAGCGTCACACAGGCCGCTCCCGCTGAAGCCACCTACACTGGACACCTCTCTTCTTGCTCTTCCCTGTCTTTCACGAAGTGTCCTCCTGGGAAACAGCACAAAAATCCACTCACTTGGCTCCTCATTCTCTTATGGACCCAGCAGGAGAAAGTGGGGTTAGGACTAAGAAGCAGACTTTGGAGTCGGTCTGACCTAGGTTCAAACCACAAGTCATATGACCCCAGGGAGACACTGGGCAAGTGACTGCCTTAGCTGGCTCCTCCAAGTGGGACAATCCGAGCCCCATGTCTGGAGCTGAAGGGGTGAGAGGGAATGGTGTTTGCAGGGTGCGCTCACAGAGCCTGGCACTCAGGGAGCTCTTGCTACTCGCCCGTACCTGTGTGAGGGCCACACCTGCACAACCCAGAGAGAGCTGGCCTGCGCCACTGACATCCAAGCCTTCCCTGCCCCCACAAGCACCACAGGTCAGCAGGCCATCACTGGTGTGAACGCCACTGTCACAAGAGAGCTGGGGGCTGACACACAGGATTCAGCAGCAAGCAGTGTAGCACCAATAACTTCTTAAGGAGGTCTCCTCTTTCTTAATAGGGTATAGTCTCAAGAACAAACAAAGGCTGAGTGAGAGCATGCTGACTTCCATATACCACAAGAAAGACTAAGCCCGGCCTGAGGAACAGGACCCCAGGAGCTGAGCGCCCCGCCCTGGGCAAAGATGAAGCAGAATCAAAACCATTCCATGTCAGGAAAAGTGCTTTTAAGGACACCAAATAAAATTAACAGGTTTAAACACATAATGTGGGGTTGTTTTTTTTTGGGGGGGGGGTGCCAGGGGCACTCGACCACTGAGCCACATCCCAGCCCTACTTTGTATTTTATTTAGAGACAGGGTCTCACTGAGTTGCTTAGCTCCTTGCCATTGCTGAGGCTGGCTTTGAACTCCTGCCTCAGACTCCTGTAATGTGGGGTTTTTTGGTCTGTAAACAAATGAACAAAAAGGAACTGGAAACCTAACTTAGCCTGCAAAATAACACCATCTGAAGCAGCTTTTGTCTAATGGGATGAGGACAGGGAGACCAGCGCCAGGGACCATAGTCGGGACTCTCCAGAGAAACCAACAGCCCTGAGATTGGGCTCCGGAATCCATGTAATGTGTGGCTGAGGCCTCTGGGGGTGCAGTTGCCAGGCAAAGCTTGTCCCAGCAGGAGCAGCAGTAGTACCCTCCAGGGTACACCTGGTTAGGTGATCCCAGGCAGCACCTGGCTGTGAGGGCTGAGAGACCCTGGGCAGAAGCTCTGCAGAGACCCCTGGGGATATCCCCGCCTCCCTGCACAAGTGAGAGACCAGTTCTTTAGTCTCAAAAGCTATGTTCAGGTGCAAAGTCCTGAGATGAAGACACAGTGGGACTTGTGCTGTCCTTCATAAGCAATTTAAAAGAACTTTAAAAGTGGTTTGCACTGGGGGAAAGCAGCAAAGTGTTAAAGCTGGTACTTCAATTCCTAAAGATGCAACTTCACTATACACTGAGTTTTACTTTATTCATTAAATCATTCAGCTAACAAATTTTGAGCACCTGCTGTGAATATGAGATTGTCTGTGGCATGTGGGATCTACGCTCAAGGGGGCCAAAGAGACCCACCTTGGCTACACATCCCAATCTGCCAATCTAACAGATGAGCAGCAGTAAGGGGCAGGAAGAAGTTTTAATCAACGTGGCCAGGCCAGAAAAAAAACAGATATAAGGGGTCAGTGACCTGCCTCCAAGGTTGTACACTGGTGCTACTATTAGACTTTCATTTTGCAAAGGTCCCCCATCTGCCAGTAGCAGTGAAATGGCTACTGTATCTGTTTTACAGGAGATGGATCAGCAGGGAAAGAACAGAAAAGCAGGGAAGTACTTGGACGATGGAGAAGTACTTGGAGCCAGAGCTAGCAGGGCCTGCAGCTGGACTTTGTGTGGGAGAAAGTGTCGATCCTGGGGCTTGACTCTAGCCACAGGACAGATAGACACTGGTGTCAGTTACAGAGCTGGAGAACACTATGTATGTGTGGGATGAGTGACAGGTGCAGCTCAGCTTACTCAAGAATTTTGCTGGGGCACAAGTGAAGCTGCCTCTAAGAGATCCAAATGGAGATACTGGAGATCCTAGCTCACCCTTAGGCTTTACCAGTCCGGGGCTGGAGGGGACAGGGCTCCAGGGCTAGAGACATCAATTGAGGATCATCAACATACAGTCTGAGGTGTGGGATTACCTGGCATTGTATAGGAAGAAAATCCAGAAAACAACCACATGTCTAGGTCTCAACCATATGGTCCTTGAGCTTTTTAGAGGTCAAATGAGAGGGCTTGCCTGTCATAGAAGACAAAGCAAGAGCTAGTGGTCAACCTGTTGCATAGTCCTGCGAGACAAACTGTTACTGTCCAGTTAGGCAGACTTAAAGGTCTGCAGTGAATCTGACTGGAGCTATTCTCTGGGAATGCTGGTGGCTGCGGGCAAGCAGGAAGGGGCTGGGGAAGGACAGAAAGCAAGGACCATGCCCGTTTCTCCAAGGCTGGACTATGAAAGAAGCAGAGAGATGGGCAGTGACAGGGAAGAATGTGTGGCAAAGGAGGGTTGCGGGGGGCTGGGGATGTGGCTCAAGCGGTAGCACGCTCGCCTGGCATGCGTGCAGTCCAGGTTCGATCCTCAGCACCACATACAAACAAAGATGTTGTGTTCGCCGAAAACTAAAAAATAAATATTAAAAAATTCTCTCTCTCTCTCTTTAAAAAAAAAAAAGGAGGGTTGCGGTTATTTTGAGGCACAGAACTGTTGTGGATGAGAGCACTCAGTAGGGCAGGAGCAATTACAGGGGAACGAGCATCCTCTCTATTGGACATTTGAGCTTCCTTCCAGTGAACTGCCTATCAATAACCTTGGAGCATTTCTTCTGCTATCCATCTTTTTCTCTTTATATACTGAATACAAATCCTTTACTTGTTAGTGACTTGCAAACAATTTTCCTTGGTTCAGTAGCTTGTCTCTCATTTTCTGGTAACTTTTTTCAAAATGAAGTTTTTAATTACAGTAAAATCTGCCTTTTCTTTTTTCCTTTCATGGCTGTGTTTTCTGTGTTAGGAAATCCTTTGCTGTCATAACATGTTCACTGTTTTCTCCTCAACTGTTTGCCATCTTGCTTTCTTATTTAAGTGTAATCCATGAGGAACATATTTTTCAGTAGGTGTGAGGTAGAGCCTTAATTTCACCTCTTTTGTTGCTCACTGCTCTGGGCCTGCTTGGAGCAGTCGTGTGTGGGCTGCCCAGTGGACTGGACCTTGGACTGCCACGCCCTTGGGATTGAACACTGTGCTCTCCTAGCTTTTCTCTGTAGAGCAGCCTGTCCTTGCCAGTGTACTCAAACCTCAAGTAAGTGTTGATCAAAGTTATAGGTTGCTCCCTGCTGTACTCTGGAGAATTAAGAGGAAAGAGCTGTTCCACACTGTGGATGAGGGGGCTGGGGAGCAGAGGTCAGAAGGCTGCAGCACCAGCTGCACCCAGCAGGGACTACATCCCAGTGATACTGGAACAAGAAGCAGGGCAAGAGGAACTGAGTGGGCACCAGGGACATGCTCAGCAGCTGCCTCACACCCCAAGTGTTGCCGAATCCTGACAACCAAACCCCTGGAGGACATGACTTTGAGAAAAACAAAAAACTATCTAAAGTAATACCTAATGGCAGAAAAGAATTGGTAACTGAGGTTTCTATATTTTACCAGTGGGAGTATAAATTAATAAAGGTACTCTGGATAGTTATTAGTAACCTTCATCTTTACAATCTAAAAATCCCTCTCATGCCTACAATCCTTTTCTCCTCTGTGCTGCAGTCTGGCTGGGCATAAATAACCGAGCCGCCACACAGCTTTGTAGGTTCAAACAGCAACTCTTTATTCCCGAACTCTCACCAGCACTCTACACACACTTCCCGGGAACACACTCCCTCCACCAGCTCCGCGTGCCAATTCTCCCGGATCCCTGCCAGAACTCCACCGAACTCCAAAGTAGCAGGATCCACCCTAACCCAGGAACAGGGTCACCTTTCAACCATTCCCTCTAGCAAAATGCCAGGCATCATTCTAAACTGTGGCTCTCAACACATCTGACCTTGACATTGACACTTTTACCTGGAGAAGATTATTATTATCTTCCTTAAATAAAGGTGGGAACTAAGCCAGAGAGGCCACAAAACTCCCTCCAGCAGAGAAGGCCTGCACATTCTTTCCAAATATATGGACCCAGCCCTCTGAAACAGAATGGAAAAAAAGGCTGGCATAATGAGAAACTGTCCTGGCAGTGACCCCCTGGGCCTCCCTCCATGGGGAGGAGGCAGGGCTGTTTTCTTTGGCCTCTGTCCCATTTCTGACTGCTTCCCTAAATGCCCAACAGCCACTCTGAGATTACTCTAGAGTTTGAAAGGACCAGGAAGGGTGGTAGAAGGTTCTAGAAGACAATCAAGCATGTATGTTCCTGCTAGAGACCATTGTAGTGCAAACACTTGCTCAGTGGACATGCTGTTAGGTCATGACAGGCAAGGGCTGTTTTAACGTCACCCAATTTCTGTTCTAGAAGGAGACTGTTAAGATTCCTTTATTTCAGGTCATGAAAAGTCCCAGCAGGCCCAGTGCTTTGTTTCCAGCGTGTTATGTAGCAAATAAAACAGTGGTACTTGCAGGAAGATGAGAATCCCTTTGATGGCACTAGGTACCTGACCAGCTAGTGACAGGTCAGCAACTTCTACCTGAGAGCTGAACAGTCCCATCTGAGACTCTGGATAGCAACTGCGGACTTTTGAGCTTGCTCCATGAAGGTGTCCACACACCCCCCCCAGTGGATCCAGAGAGGCATATTTTAATAGTAGCAATGACCAGCTAGGGACTTCTCTATTGCTGAGAGCCATAGCCAAGTAGGAATGACGCATGGCAATTTCCTTGCCAGCCTACCCAATGTTGCTTAGAGGGAGGACTCTCCATTGTGGAAATGGGCTTGCCTTGGACCCAGGTCATTTGCAGTGACATTGCATGAATGTTTGAGAAAGGTGACCCTGCTCAAGGACTAGGGTGGATCTGGGTTTAGGGTGTATCCTGCTGGGAATAGGGCCATTGAGTTCTCCCAGGATTCAGAGAGTATTTTGGTATGCAGAGCCCGGTGGACTGTGTGGATTTTCCCCAGAATGTGCCTGTAGAGTGCCGGTGACAGTTCGAGAATAAAGAGTTGCTGTTTAAATCTACAAGACAGTGTGGTGGCTCGGTTATTTTGTGTCCAGCCAGACTGCGGCACCCTATGGCAGTGACATGGGGGGAACTGATGTCATTCTAGTTGCAACATTTCAAATGACTGCATGGTGGCCAAAAGTCTGGGCGTCAGGAAGTCACCTGTCCCATCCTCACCTGAGGAGAGGCCCTCCCTTACCGACTTCCCTCCTTTAGGCACCTGCTCCACTCACAGCCTGCTGCCTTCTCCTTTCTTGTCAGTTATCTGCTATGGGATACATTCCAAAGCCCCTGTGTGGAATGCTTGGTCCCCAGGGTGGCCCCCTAGGAGGGTGAAGGCTAGTGGGAAGCCCTTAGGGAACTGGGGGCATGCCCTAGAGGGAACTGTGGACCCCAGTCTCTGCCTTTCTGCCTCCTGGCACATGGCAGCAGGTGCTCTGCCACACACTCTTTCCATGATGTGCCACCCTCACAGGAGGCACCTGACTTTGGGCTGGACACCAGAGCCATGAGCTGTGCCTCACAGAGTGAGCCTTCACACAATGC